CGGTTAGGGAGGAGAACAAAGCATTCTTTATAAGGGTGTGGAAACCTCTGACACGTTTTAAAAACCTTGAAGGGAAGCCCGAAAGGAAAAACCCAAACAGGACAATATCTGCTAGGGGTGGGTTTGGACCATTACAAATGGTATCAAAGGCAGACACCGTGCAATGTGTCAAAGAGAAGGCTGAACCCCGAAGGGGGTGGACACGAGGCGGTGTGCCAGCAAGAACGCTGGTCCCCAAAAGGATGTGGATTGGGGGTCGTACATCAATTGGAGAAGGGAACGAGTGCCAGCGAAAACGCTGGGCCTCAAAAGGGGGTGGATTGTGAGATCCCACATCGGTTGGGGAGGAGAACGACATTCTTTATAAGAGTATGAAAACCTCTCCCTATCATATGTGTTTTAAAAACTTTAAGGAAAAGCCCGAGAGGGAAACCATCCAAAGAGGACAATATCTGCTAGCGGTGGCCTTGGGCCGTTACAATAAATCATAGGTTACAAGCAAGACAGCCTCATAACGCTCTCTTCCTGAATTGCTATATCCTCTGTAAAACAGATGGAAAATACCAGCCGTTTGATCTTTCCTTGGCACTAAAACCTCAAGGTAGTCTTTTTACCACTTCCAGCATAAGACTGATTTTTCAGTACAGAACAGCAGGACTTGTTAAATTGAAGAACATTCTTTTAGAAGGAAAGCTGGAGTTCTTTAGTATGGTCCTATAAAAGAAATTTTGTGGGAGGTTTGGCTAGGAAGTAATAGACGAATCTGTCAAAATGAACACAAGGAACCCTCAAATTTAGGGGATACATTTCTTTTGTAGCTTCTCTATGGAGTTCTTTCCCAAAATATTCATGCAACTATTTCCTCTCCTATAAAAACTCTAGTTGGAGTGCCTTCTTTAAGCTCCAGTGGGTTCTTTTTCCTTACCTTTTAAATTTTTTTTATACATAAAAGAAAATAAAGCTACAAAATGATTTATTTATTGATGGAATACAAAATGTAACAAACAAAAGAGGCCTGAGGATATACAGAGCAAACAAAACAGAAAAGAAGAATATTACGAGAGAAAAATAGCATCCATCCAAAGCTTATGTGAAGGCATTCAAATGCATAGCTCCACAATCTTCTCGAGCTCATATTATGTGTCCTAAAAAATCTTTCTATTTCTCTAGTTGAATACATCATAAAATAAACAGAAGGAAAGAAAAAAATCTGTTTCCCAAAGAAATTTCCCTCTATTCTCCCATAGCCCACTAAAATCCAAATTAGAAGTGAGGTCAAATCCGAACATTTGCAAGGATCTGCCCCATACGATGCTGGAAAAAGAGCTATACCAACTATAGTCCTTTCTTGAATCCCTACAGAACATGGACCGCTGGAGGAACAAACCAAAGATAAACCTCAAAATAGTGAAGTCAAAAAGAAGTTCATCATTTTTGGAACCTCCAATTTCAAAATCTTGAAAATGAAATGAATCCAATTAATCAAGGAAGAGGAAATTGAAGCACAGAAAAAGGAGCTGCATATAAAAACGCCAGAAGAGTACAATACCCAAACCAACTTGTCCTCAATCCAATGCTAAGGACCACAGCAGGAATGACTTATGACAGAGAAGCAAGGTCCCAACTCTCTCTCAATCATAATAACTCATAATATAACCACAATAACTTAGGAATATCTAAAAGAACAATACATTCATATATATATACATATTATTTCGAAAGCTGAAATTCTACCCCTATATTAAAACGGAGAGCTAAAGATTCAAATAAGTATGAGCAATCTTAAGTGTATAATCTTCTTATGAAAGTTTCTTACAACTTACAAGATGTCACATCGTTCATATAACTATTTCATTCATGCAGTATTTGAAATGCAAATAATTGAGCATGAAAACATTGAAACGTGTTATTTACAAACGTGTTTCTAACATGTTTATTCCTAATTTTTATGCAAATAAGTGCAGTGTATCTAATTTTGAATTCATATATTGTGTTTGTGTTTGAGAGCATACGAATTAGACTACAAAAGACCTATGAAAAAGTAGTATAACGGGAAAATGTTACAGAAGATCTGGATCCCTGGTAAGTTGATCGATTCCCCTGCAATCTCCTTACCAGCAGGATCAGAGCACTGAAGAAGATCGGCAGATAAAGTGATAGCGTGCAACAAGCCTAGTATAGGCTTCATGAGCTCAAACAATTCCAAGAGCATTACTAACAATAAGTTTTGTCGCATAATCTCCTTCATGAGCTCAAACAATTGGATGAAATTTGACGGAATCAATGAAATACTCCAGTAGAAATGGAAGAGAAAGCGGCCGGAAAGCATGGCGGCGAGAAGAAATATCCCCGGCTCCGACTGATCGGTCTTTTCCCGGCTCGGTTCGTTTGAAAGCCTAATTTTGAGATTTTGACTCAATTTTTGTTTTGGTATTTATTTAATTTATAAAAAATTTACGAAAAATATAAATTTCCTTTTAAGTTAAACATAGTTATAATAAAAAAAAAATTAATACATTTTAGGGAAAAAAAATTATTTTGGAGATCAATTTTTATGGAATTTGTGAATTAAAATTGGGTGAAAATTATTGTTAAGATTTAATTAAAAAAAATTATGCGTACATTAATTAATTAAATGTGTTTATAAGCTACGAGAACCAAGGCGTTATATAATAAAATTAGTAATTAATTTTTTACAATAAAGATTAAATTGTTATAAATTTGAAAGTGTATTAATTATATAGTTACATATTAAAGATCAAATATTAAATGGTTATTTTTGTAAAAGTTTAAAAACTGAAAATACGTCGGAATAAGAGGTTTTAAGGAACGTTAAGGAGAGAAAGACATCTATTGATGGGAGTGATAGCATATATCTCATGAACGAGAATGAGTTATTCACGGGTGCCTAGAAAAGGAGAGGGAATGTCTTAACTTTGTCCGACCTTGTTCTCAAATATTGTGAGCCAAAAAGTAAGCTTTTGAGGCTACAAGAGGGCGAGATATCGAGTTTGTTCTCGAAAAATTATAGTTCTATGGGAGAATTATACTCCTTGTGTTCGCTTTATAACTTTGTCTTAATAATTTTTTTTAATGTTGATGGATCTCATGTCATTTTAAAAATGATGCTGACGTGACAGACAATAAATGAAATTAGTATCCATATTTTTACGGTACTTAAAATTTTTTCATAGAGGAGGTTCGGTGTTCACTTGAGATTAGGATTTAAAAGAGAAAATTCACTATTGGAAAGTCCAAGTGATATGATTCGTTCATTCTTCAGTTAAAATAGAACGGTCAAAGTTTACCATCAACCCACTAAACTAATTGTATTGTGATAAAATATATATATATATATATATATATATATATATATATATATATATATATATATATATTTTAAAATTAACAATAAATTCGATGATCTGATTCAATTCAATCTAGTTTTAGAAGAATCATTATCAATCTAATTTTAGATAATCTAATTTTAGAGGAATCATTAAACCACGCATAAATTAGAGATGGAATTTTGATAGTTATATATTGTTATGCTAAAACATATTCCAAAACAAAATAACGCATGAAAAAATAAAAAATTATTGGAACGTTCAAGAAGATCATCAAATGAATACTAAAGTAATTATAATAGACTTCAAGGTGTATGTTTCGAACTATATAAATATACTTAATATCAACCACGTGCAAGACTACATATATGCATGTTGTGAGTATTTAATTATATTCTATATAGACGTATGATATATATCCCAAGACCTCACATTGGTGAGAGGGGAAAACAAAGCATTCCAATGTGTGAAAATCTCTTATTAATAGACGCGTCTTAAAACCTTGAGGTTGACGATAATACGTAATGAGCCAACACTGACAATATTAGCAAGAACATTGGGCCTCCAAGTGAGGTGGATCTTGAGATCTCACATTAGTTAAAGAGGAGAACGAAGCATTCCTTGTAAGGGTGTGAAAGACTCTCCTTAGTAGACGCATTTTAAAACCGTGATGCTAACAACGATACGTAACATGCCAAAGCAAACAATTTATGCTAGTTGTGGTCTCGAGCTAAGTATAGGTATGTTCAGAGAGAAACATAGTAAGATGAAAGCTTTGCACCTACCTTGTTAATCAAGACGACAGTTGAGAGAGACCGAACATAGAATTGTCATGTTGTATAAGATAATGAAACCATCGCCCACTCGGAGTTTGGTTCGACCGAAGAAAAGATAGCAGAATTCAGTAGACTAACATTCAATCTTGCATCATAGAGGTAGTATATGAGATAATTTGTTGCAAGCAAACTAACCTAAAATATTCTTGAATATTGGACAACAATTTAATGTTTGCCCATATTCACATGACCCAAGCAACTTGAATATCAGTAGCAATGAGCAAACTAGATACAAGAAAGAACATAATTGCTTTACCAATTTAAACAAAGTAACCCCATTATTAGTATCAAACAGAATCAATCAACTTTGAGCATCATAACCTGTTTCTATACGAACATATAGCATTAAGAACACAAACCCTGTTTCAATACAAATCAAATCAGCCACCAACTCAAGATTTGAGGCCTTCTACAAGACTTTCTATGCAAGGTAAAAACATAATATAACAATTCATCTAAATGTGAGAGAGAAAAAGCTTATCACAAGAAACAAGGAGGTTTTGAGAAATTAAGTTCATGCACCCATCCTCTTAGATGGATGCAGCATGATGCATCCAATTCAGATTGTGGTAGGTATCTCTTTTCCCAAGAGAGAACCCAAAATATCCATTCAAAAGATTAAATCAATAAGAACAGGAGAGCATTTGATGCAAGTACTTCTTAAAAAAAGCACTTTTTGAGTGCTTTTGATTGACCTAAGTGATTGATGAGGAAGTCCTCTTCAAAGATGAACAAACCTAGAACCTAATATCAAAGTGAATTGTAATTAACCATTTTAGATTGAAGTGCTACTAAAGTAGTTCTCAAGCAAAACCTATAATCAAAAGCACCCTTTCCCAAGCACACGTTTCTATATGCAAGTTTCTGAAAGAAAAATGACACGAAAACGTAAGAAGCAGGCTATACAAAAGATCAATGGATCATTTCAAGTCCTACAGAAACCATGACTAGAAGAACAAATTTGCCTTCTAATGGTAGTGGCACTCTGTGCCAAAGTCAGGAAAAAGTTAACATTTCAACCGTACCATGAGAAACACAAACCGAAGGCATGGATAGTACTACTAAAGATAGGAAGATGGTCGATGCCATGTTCCTGTTATATCCCACCATAGTCAGATGATACGAAAAGTATATTATCATAAGACAATTTAAAAACTACTGGGGATAGTAAGATTGGTGGTAGGGTGGAGGCACACCCACACCATATCCAGGTGGTGCATATGGTTCTGTTGGGTATGCGTGAGAATTAGAGGTGGATGCATTTCCAGGAAAACCCATGGGGCCTCCTGCCAAACCATAATACTCAGCTGATGAGCCATGATAAGAGGCACCAGCTGGAGTGGACGCTGCCACAGCCATATTATAAGCCATAGATGAGCTCTCAAAAGGAGCAGATTGATCTGGCAACACACCTGCTGGCTGTAGATGTGATTGTGCATATGAAACAGGATGATTTGGCAACAAACCTGCTGGCTGTAGAAGAGATTGTTGATAAGGAGCAGTAAGATCAGCTACCAAACCTGCAGAATGTAAGTGTGTTTGCCGGTATGGGGGATAAGCTGGATTCCCAAAACCAACAATATTTGGAACTCCTGCAGAGCCACCTGGACCAGCCATGTGCAGGTGATTAATTGGAAACTGCCGTCGCATATGCTTCTTTGGCGGCAACTTCTGTTTCTTGAACCGTTGTTTCACTTGTAGTGGTTGGTGTGGCTGTTTATGTCTGGCAATAATAGGAGAAGCTACCGCAGGGCGCTTCCTGTGGGTTCTCTGCTTCTCGAGTTGATCAATACGCTTTTGAAGGTTCACTTGTGGATAATCATCATCAAGCTTGTATTCTTCAATAAATTTGACCACAGATTTTAAAGCACCTAGTTCTTTCGCGGTAGACTCGTTCTGTTCGATAACATTTCCACAAATTAAAGTAATGAAACAATTCTTTCCTCTCAAATTTGTAAGTAAAATCAAATAGCAAATAAGGTTGGATTGGATGTAAATACCAGTGCTCTGAGAGAGTTTTTTCCTGCCCTGCAAACTGCCTTGGCTGCCTTCTTGGATTCCCTCACATACTCTTTTAAGATGGGAATGGGTGGGAACCTGTCCGTCAACTCAAACTCAAAGATGAATTTGACAGCTAAAAGTTGCTTTCCCTTGTCTAGCAGTTTCTGAACAAGATCTGTAAGAACAGCACCAAGAATATTGCAATTTCAGTAAAGGGAAATCCGTTATTACACTAACATAGTACCATAAAGAATGTCGATAACTAATATATAGGCAAGCTTGCAAATTTATAAACACTTACAAACTCTTCTACTTCTCTTGTCGTACTTGTCCTATATTTACCTTCTAGCACATGCTTAAAGATCGATTCGTTCAATTTATAATACTCAACCAATATGAAATATCTACATAACTACTTCATGTTCCTTTTCAAAATAAAGCTTCAATGATCAATATATACACTTAATAAAAATTATCTTGGTTATCTATACTCCATGAAAGACATTCAGCACTTTGCCTTAGCAATACCAAGAAATCGTCCTAAGATCCAAATATCTTCGAAACTATGATTTTCCACCACCAAAATTCAGTTTTTTGAACTTCTTGTTCATCAGTTTGAACAATTTTCTCCTGCAACAAAGCAAAGTAATATGATAACGAATGCATGCAACCACGAGCAACACCCTATGGCCTACATAACGAGATCCAGAGATGATCAAAATCTAAAATATGCGAGCACCCAACATTGATCTTCAAACTGAGATAGGATAAACTAACTTCAAAATTTATGATCTGTCTACCTCGCCCCTGAAGCTCTTTCACACCAACTTAATATTTTCTAGGCTAAATTACATGTTCATTCTCATTCAAATAAAACAATGTTTCAAAAGAATATACTAACCATATACTTTATCGCCCAAGCCAACAACTTTGCACAACTTTGTAGCTTGCCGATACCGAGCAATTATAATGAAATAATCAACAAGCTCACCCACTTCAAATTCCGATGACAAATTATAAGCTGCAACCAAATGCAAAAACCCTAATGCATCTAACGGATCCTTCCCATGTTTACCAAAACTTTGTTTCCAATCCAGCGCCAGTTTCTTCGCCCTTTCTGTTACATGATCGTCTACATTTCGAAAACCATCCATCAGGGTCTCCAACAATAGTACACAACCTCTCCTCACATTGGACATTTTCAAGTTATGTAGCTTCGGTTTTGGATTGGCACGGAAGAATCCCTCCATTGCATCCAGAACCAGAGCTTCTATATCCGGCGCACACTTAAGTGCATCCGGGAGCTCATCCCTGACTGATTCACGTTCCTTCGGCAAATCACTAACATATCTACCCAGCCCCTTTCCGTCCATTTGCTCACAGAGAAGCTTCATCTCGGACCGAGGCGACACACAATCGGCACTCCCATCCGGCTCGTCCCGATTCCCCACTTCCACGCGCAATGAAGAACACGGCTCCTTCTCCTCTGGTTGATTTTGAATCACTTCCAACTGCATAGACTCAAGCTCGTGGAATTTCTTTGTGAGAGAGTTCTGGATTGAAGTGAAGTGCGATTCGAGGTCGGACCAAGAGAGGGAAAAGGAATCGAGGAGATGGGAGTGACCTTGAAGGTCTTCAAATGCTTTCTTCAAGTTCTGTGTCTTGGAATCAACGAGCTTCAGCGCATCTGAGATCTCTTTGAGGTCCGCCATTGGAGGAATTGGAAGAAGAAATTGAATAAAATGATGGAAATCTTCGAGTTGCAGAAAACCCTAACCCTCAAAATTGAAGATACTGAAGAATCATCATCTTTAAGGGTTGTTGATGAGCGTAGCTGGTGGGTCGTCCTGTAGCGTCTGCGGCCTTCTGTCTTCTTCTACATGAACGGCTTGCTTAAGGGAATTGCCATTAAAGCGTGGGTAGGGCGGATCATGGAGAGATTTCAATGGAAATTTCTACAAGCAATGTTCTTGGGATAAGGTATCCCTTTTTAATCCATTTTCATGAAATTTAGGGCTAAATTAATAGAAATATTTTTCAATTTTTTTTATTTTAAAAAATATTTTTTAATTTTTTAATTTTAATATAATAATGTAGTTTTATTGTGAAATTACCGAAACTAAAAAAATAATATTTGAGTTTTAATATTTATTCAAATCTTATATTTTATGCATTAATTAGACTTAATTTTACATTAAGTTGACTATTTATTCCGATTTAAATAATTTTTATTAAAATTAAGATTTTAATTCCTAAATTATTTATTTATTTTTTTTAAATATTTAAATAATTAAAAATTTTATTTTTAAGCTTGGTCGGAAAATAAATAATTATATTGTATATTTTAAAGTAAACAATAAAGTTTTAGAGTAACTTATGAATTAATCAAATCTATAAAGTTTTCATTTATTTGAACCGAACACAACACAAATAAGTTCATAATCCAATTTACATCCTATTGAATTGGGTTAATCGATTTTTTTTTATTTTATTAAATATTATTGATATAACTTATATAGAAAAAAAAATTAATAATGAGCTAAATTAATAAATATATTATTAAATTCTTAAAAATCTTAAATTTTTAAAAATTTCATTAATATCTTTAAAATATTTTAATTTTTAAAAAAATATTTTTTTAAGTTAAAAAATATTCCTAGTTCTACCTTTCAAAAATACCTATCAACTATTAGGAGCCGTGTTAACCCTAAACCTTAAATCGTTCCCTAATAGTTCATCGTTCTGTTCGATTTTGTGAGATCCCACAGAAAGGAGGATTAAACATTATTTGTGAAAACTTTTCTTAATAGATGCGTTTTAAAACATTGAGCGAGAAAGCCTAAACACAATATCTACTAGTGTGGACCGGTTTATCTTCAACTCATGACCTAATAATTTTTTTTTTATTTTTTAAAATTGATTGATTAATTAATTGAACAAGAACATCGTTCAAACACAGCTAGGTACTTGAATTTTAAACGAATCAAGTTAGATGGAATCTCTCATTTAAGTTTCTGAATTCATTTCAACAACAGACAGTCCTCCTCGTTTGACAGCCAACCAACAATTGTCGTACAGGAATTTTTTGCCTGCAGCCTAGTCGCCTTATTATATCCTACTCGTTCGGGTTATCGTTTCTTACTTTAGGGCTTCCTTTTCTGCCTTCGGCCTTTAGACAGTATGCTCTAGTCGTAGCATACAACTCTTAGTTGAATGCCTAATGGAGACACCGACTAATAAAATTAACGAGAGGAGAAGACACGTTGGGTTTCACTTTTAATTTTTTTTTTAAAAATGAAAATGTATTATTAAATTTAATTTTGAAATTTGAAAATTAGGAATATTATGGTGAGGGTATTTTTTTCATTTTTAATTTTTTGAAATATGAGAAATATATATATTTTAAAAATTTATTCATATAGAGAAGGAAAAAACGTGTAAGTTCCTTACAAATGGCGGTGGTATGCTCCTAGGAGGAGTCGGAGGCAATCGTGGAGGTGAATCCCACTGGCTGACACTCAGTGTCCGGAGCTAATCCGCTTCGTTGCCGTGAAAAAGGTACACCGATTATCCGATCATGTTGAAGGAATAGAAGCGCCATGGAATCAACTGAAGCTGAGAAACGTCACGAACGGCCGCTCAGTCGGGTTGGGGTGCGGCGGACGATGAAGAACGGCAGCATAATCGCCGTTTACAAACGTCAAACGCGTAGATTCGTACGAAGTTTGGACTGGAGGGAATCTGAAAGAGTACAGAAGAAAACACTGAAACGTTTCGATCGAGGCGGTGAAGATGGCAGAAGTCCAATGCCGTGAGTAATTCGGTTTGTTCTTACAGATCAACTAATAGAAAATTTTCAGCCAATTTATTAAGTTGAACCTACATTGAAACTATAAATGAATACTAGATATTGGATTGATGGTGATTTATCAGAATTGATACGTGTTGTGGTGTAGGTAATCTCAAGGAATTGAATTGATTAATTGATGTGGTAAACCAATTGGTAATTAGGGCATTGAATCAGATGGTGTAAAATGATTTTGATGATTGATTGTCACATAGAAGTTAACGTTACTGCTGAATATTCAGGGCATCGCCGCATTGGAAATCTCACATGTTGTTGAAAATAATACCTAAATATTTGGATTCTTCAGCTTTGAGTCTCATCATGCTTAGTTGAAAGATTTTCCAGTCTCCCAAAGACCCTAAAAATGCAGAGAGACATGAGGTCAATTTTGCTTCTGATCTGGTTGTTTTATGCTGCAGTATATGCTTCATCTTTCACAGCTTGTTTGGATGGTGATTTATCAGAATCTGGAGCTTTTCTCAGTTTCATCAGAGCTATTGATCCACAAGACATTCTTGGGATTGGCACGAACGAATCGATGCTACGCCTGCAGTTGAATAAGGTGAAGGGTGTAAAATATGGGCATCAGGGGTCTATTGTTGAAATCAGGCTTGAGAATTTGAACCTCAGTGGAAGAATTGATGCAGATTCTGTCTGCAACCTATCTCGTCTTAGAGTTCTTAACCTGGCTAAGAACAACATTCAAGGAAACATTCCTGATTCAATTGTGCATTGTACAAGGCTCACCCACTTGAATCTCAGCAACAACAATTTGAGTGGGATGGTACCTTTTAGTCTGCCTAAACTAAAAAATCTCAGGAGAATAGACATTTCTAACAATCGCTTTACTACTGTCTCGCCTCAATTCAAGGAGTTCAAACATAAAAAGTCTCTAAGATCATGGATGGCTCTGCGGGACACAATCCCGTCGAGCTCACAAAGCAGCATGTCTGATAGCGGTGGGGTAGCACACTGGCTTCACCATAAAGGGATAATATTATTGGTAATCCTTATTCTCTGTACTGTAACTTGTTTGATATTTTCATTCCTAGTATGCAAGAGGGCTTCAAAGTTAGCGCTTAGAAAGGAGATGTCTAAGAAGACCCTTCAGAAGTCTCCTCCTATTGTTGCTCTTTCAAACGTGTCTAGTGAGGTAGAGCGACCAGATGAAGCCCTTCGAGAGCATCGAGAGCTTGTGTTCTTTAATGAAGAAGATGAACGGTTCAAAGTGGAGGACCTCCTTGAAGCAACAGCAGATTTACAAAGTCTGAATATCTGCACCAGTCTTTTCAAGGTTAGGTTAAAGAGCCAATATTATGCTGTCAAAACATTGAGGAAAATGCAGATAAACTTTGATGAATTTCGTAAAACCATGAGACTAGTAGGAAACTTGCGGCACCCAAACATTTTGCCGCTTGTGGGTTATTATTCTGCAAATGACGAGAAACTACTGATCTACAAGTACCAGAGAAAGGGAAGTCTGCATGAACTTCTTGAAAGTAAGTAAACACTGCAACACCCTTCTAAAGCTTTTCTTACTCTCATTTTATTTCCTCAAAACATAGCCGTTTGCATCTCTGATAAAGTGAAAGTTTACAATCCTCAAGTGTTAAGAAAAGTCCTAGGAATTATCTCGATCAAACCGATTCCAGTTTGTGAAGAGGTCGATTACCATGTCATTTTTCTATTAGCCCATAATTAACATTTGATAAATTGATATGTAGTGCGGTATACTCTAGTTGGGAAATTTTCAACAGACAAAACTGTTAGAAATCACGACTCTCCACAATGGTATGATATTGTCCACTTTGAGCTTAAACTCTCGTGGCTTTGTTTTTTGTTTCCCCAAAAAAACCTCATATTAATAGAGATAGTGTTCCTTATAAATCTATGATCTTCCTCTTAATTAGCCAATGTGGGACTACTCCTTTCAATAATCCTCGACAATCCTCCCCTCGAACAAAGTACACCATATAGCCTCTCTTGAGGCCTATGAAGCCCTCGAATAGCCTCCCCTAAGGCTCGGCTTCTTTCTTTGAAACTCTCAAACAAAGTACATCTTTTGTTCGACACTTGAGTCACTTTTGACTACACTTTCCAGAGTAGCAACTTCTTTGTTCGGCACTTGAGAATTTGATTAGCATGACTAAGTTAAGGGCATGACTCTAATACCATGTTAGTTGAACACGACTCCCCATAATGGTATAATATTGTCCTTTGAGCTTAAACCCTCATGACTTTGCTTTTAGTTTCTCCAAAAGGTCTCATACTAATGGAGATAGTGTTCCTTATAAACCCATGATCTTCCTCTTAATTAGCCAATGTGGAACTACTCCTTTCAATAATCCTCGACCAAAACTAGTGGAGTCTCTACTCTATTACTTTTTTAAAAACTTACTCTAAAACCCATTAACAAAGCTAACATGAGCAAATATTTACTGTAAAGCCATTGAATCTCTTGAGATAATTGTTTACTAAGATGACTTTTGGTTATTTATAGGCTGCATTGAAGGAAAGCAAGCATTCCCATGGAGGATTAGATTATCCATAGCTAGTGGAATAGCAAAGGGTTTGGGATTTATATACCAAAGATCAAATGCAGAAGCCTCCATTCCGCATGGGAATTTAAAACTTCCGAACATTCTCTTAAATGAAAACAACGAACCACAAATCAGCGAATACGGGATCACAAACTTCCTAGACCAGAAGCAAGTCCGTCTTCTTTCCTCAAAGGGGTACACAGCCCCAGAGAAGAAACTATCCGAGAAAGCCGACGTATATAGCTTTGGAATCATATTGCTCGAGTTATTAACAGGAAAAATAGTAACAAAAGATGGGATCAATCTCCCCAAATGGGTAAGAGCCAAGGTAAGAGAAGAGTGGACATGTGAAGTGTTTGATGAGGAAGTCGCTCGAAATGCCGGAAAATGGGCGTTTTCTGTTCTGCTTATTGCCTTAGATTGTGTCTCTAATTACCCTGAAGAAAGGCCAAGCATGGCTGAGGCTCAGGAAAAGATACAGGAGGTGGTTAAGACAGTGGAGGATCATGAACTACGCATTTCGCCATTGTCTTCTGATTTTGGCTCTCCTGAGGCTATTCGCTAGTACTACCACACACAGACACATATCCAGGTATATTCTTTTTTTCAAACCAAGGCCATTTGGAATGGTGGGATTTGAACTGTTGCTTGTGTTAATTAATCTCTGTTAGTTGGATTGTTAGCATAGAAGAGTGTGCACTTGATAGTATTGTTTCCTTAGTGTCTTTGTCATATGTATTATATGTGATGATAGGTTTAGAGGTTTATGAATACTTAAGTTTCATAATGTTATTCCTTTCATCCTTGTTCTCATAGTGCTCTAGTTCTTATAAACCAAGGCAATGGATATATTGAAACGCGTTTTCTGTACACGTGGTCGTTATTGAGTGATTCCTGAAAACATGAAATTTGAAGGCTTAAAAGAGTTTCTATACCCAGAGTTTCAGGATGAACGACCCTACTGCTTGTTTTAAGAAAAGGGTTACTCTTTTTACACACTTAAATGTCTCGTTCTTCTTGCAGTATACCAAACATTGTTGATATTTTGTCTTCCTTTCGACAATTGTCACTCTTTTAAGTTCATTCAACGCAAGTGTAGTTCAATTGTTAAGATATTAATCTTTCTAATTTTGAGTTCACAATTCTTTTACTTAAAAAAAACAAAACTTTCGTTTGATTTGCAGGTTAAGTACCATGAGATTTTTGTTTATAGCGGGTGGGTAAAGATTTATTTTAACTTAGAAAATCTCGATCTCATTTATTATTAAAATGTCAAAAGTCAAATTAATGACCCTTTATTACTCTCTCTTAACCTATGACATAGGTGGTAGATTTCTAGGTGTCACGGTCATATTTGTAGACATGTTATTGTAACCACATGCCAGATGTCTCGGTCACGGTTGTTTAGGACGTGTTGTTCATGCTGCCTACCCCTTTTAAACCCCTTTTACTTGCTTTCATGTTGGATGGGTCTTTTACTATTTCTTGTTGAGTTAGTACGTGGGTGATACACCCACGTTAGTGTTAAAATGCCACAAAATGTACTATGGAGGGATGTGACTAGTTGTCAATTATTCATACGTGGGTTCTATGCTATCAAAGTTTGTTGTTGCTGCCTACTTGCTTTGAACTTATAACATTGCTTTCAACGTATTTTCTTACTCATGTTTTCCAAAATGTTTCTCTCAAATGTGACTCGAGACTCGAGTATACCGATATTGTCCCCAAAATCTAAATTTTACACGATTGACTCATTTGTTGGATTAGAACAAGTGTCGTAAAATTATTGTCCTGCTTAGGTCCGAGTTAAGAGGTTCCAAACCTCGTTTTTCTCTCACAAGAATATAACAAGTTTTATTTTTGTAACCAAACAACTGAGGTCAAACAATACATGCCTTGAGGTGCCTACAAGCCTATTCGAACACTTGGAATAACAATAACATCAGGTGAAATGTCGAATTGATATGTCATACAGAAATAAATATATCAACGATTACATAATGACGGGTAGATGACACAGATACACCTAATGGTCGACTCGTGCGAGACTTCATTGTGTGGCTTTTCATTTGAACGACTTTGTCATCTTTATGTGATCAAAATTGGAGTATGTTTGCTCGAGTACACATAAAACGCTACAATAACATGAAACTACAAATTATAGGTAAAAAAACAAATGATGAAAAAGTAGTATAAAAAAGTTATAACCGTAGATATCGTGGTAGATCCAAATAATTATGACAATTATCCATTTTTTCAATGAATTTAACGATATATGTGAATGATAAATTTAAGAATACAAACGTGGAGATTACCAACATAGTTGCAAAGACCCGTATGAATGTGGAACAAGTAATAAATGAAGAGTTAGGACGTCCGACAAACAACTAAATAGCTATCAATCTAATAAAAATGTCGGAACTTTGGTTACCAAGCTCGAGAAGGATAGTCTAATCAATCACAATCAAGTTCATTTTTTGTGAGATTGGATTTGACCATATCACCCAAGATGAAAATTACGGTTCTCGACAAGGTGGGGTGAGAATTTCTACTATTGGTAAAATGTTCTATCGATGTCGAGACGTAAGATATTTTTATTCGACATATTCCCTATTTTTATTCGACATATTCCCTTACTTTCAACTATGGAAACAGTGAATATAAAACAATAATAAAATACGACAATGGAACTATGATCAATGTAGCTATTCTTACACAAATTATGATGATTCTTTTAAGTTTCGGTCATACCGACTTCTAGTTTAACTTTCCACCAAATAGTTATTATTATCCATCTTAAAATCAAACCAACGACAAATGAGATGTATCCATCAATCGGGTCTATATGTTGGTCGTACAAGCCTTACCGTCTTCATCTAAATATCTATGTTCAACATCTATAAAGATGACGGGAGAGAAATATTGTAATTTCTATCAGCTTGTCAAGTTACGGATTAGATAATAAAAAAAAACATATTTTTCGTATTAAACGTGTACATTTTAAATTAAATAATTCACATTTATTTCCTCTAATTGTCGATATTGATATTATTTGTTAGGTAATTAAGAATGGTTAATTATATAGTTTAATTAAGTCATCATAATTAAAACCTCTTTAACACCAACTTTTTCATCCACATTTTAATACAAATATTATATTATTTCATATATGATGGTAAAAAAATTCATGAAATAATTCAAATAATTTAAATCAATTTTCACATTTATTTTTCAAAATTCATTTTAATTAAGTCGTATTTAAAATTTCATGGACTAATTCAAATATTTTCGATCAATTTTTATTATTTTTTATAAATTCTTTAAAAATTTTGATGTGCGTTGAACTTTCAAAGTTGTTTATTAGAGATGTTCATATGATTGGATGACTGACTAATGTTGTAACGGCCCAGATCCACCACTACTAGATATTGTCTTTTTTGGACTTTCCCTTTCGGGCTTCTGCTCAAGGCTTTAAAATATTGTCTTTTTTTTTTTACTTTTCGTTTCGGGCTTCCACTCAAGGCTTTAAAATATTGTCTGTTTTGGACTTTCCCTTTTGAACTTCCGCTCAAGGCTTTAAAACGGGTCTGTTAGTGGAAGGTTTCCACGGGCTTCCTCTCAAGGCTTTAAAATATTGTCTTTTTTGGACTTTCCCTTTCGGACTTCCGCTCAAGGCTTTAAAACGGGTATGTTAGTGGAAGGTTTCCACGGGCTTCCGCTCAAGGCTTTAAAATATTGTCTTTTTTGGACTTTCCCTTTCGGACTTCCGCTCAAAGCTTTAAAACGGGTCTGTTAGTGGAAGGTTTCCACACCCTTATAATAAAGGGTGGTTTGTTATCCTCCCAACCAACGTGCCACATCACAAATCCAGACTACTAAACCCAAACTATAAGAGTTCGGGTTAGATTTTTTATTTTTTTTATTTTAGTTAGATTAAATTTTTAGGAAACTGAAAATTCTAGTCAATTCACTTGTTAACATTTTTTTTTTGTCTAGTCAGTCTGCCGACTCCAAAATAAAATTATAATTTTATTATATAATGAAATTTTGGTTATTAATATAAAATGTTTGATAGACGTTAATAAGTAGAATATTTTTAGATAATTAAATAAAAAATAATAATTCAATCGTTCAAACTCAAATTCTATTTAGATGGTTCAAATTATCGAACTAAAATTTTAGATTGGTTTAAAAGATTGTTTGAACTCGACCAAGAGATCGACTATGGCTGCCCATAGATCCAAAAGACATCTTTTCTAAGTTGTTGGACCCGACTCTTAGGCATCAATCAGTATCATTCTGCTGCCAGTCCCTTCTTCTCCTACCTCTCTCTCCTCAACTGCTATGAAACTCTCCTCCTTCCAATGTCCATGGCGATTCTGAGCTCTCTTTCTTTTGTATTTCTCCTTCCCCTTTTGATATTTTCACAGTTGAATCTCTGAAACATATGGGGACCTTTCAAGTTTTCTATTTATCTTCCGTTTTCGGCCCCGAAGTTGGAGTTTGACCTCCCTGTGTAAGTCATTGTGGTTTTCTATTTCTTTTTCCCGTCTAATTCGTCGTGGATTCTCTCTGGTCGTATGTAGTCAAAACGGTTTGCCGCCTGTTTGGTGTTTTCTGGCTGCAACCAGTTCTTGTGCAGAGGGCTTGAAGAAATCTCATACGTTTGGGTGGTTCTGCCCAATTTGTGGCGAATCTTACCTCTTTGTTCCCGCCATTGTTGTTCGATGTGTTGAGGAATTTTTTTTTTTTTTTTTTTTTTT